AAAACATGTCTATCTCATGTGTATGTATCCATTGTATTCCAATTCTTCTAGTGTGATTTTGCCTAGTTTCAAAGCAAACTTAGTGCCTAGGACAGGACATCAAGGATGCCTAAATAAATGCCTGGTGGCCCACTGCATACATGAGTGAAAGTGATATCAACTTACAACCAGCTACCCACCAGACAAAAAGGGCTCCTACTGAGTTGATATATTCCAACCTTGTTACATCACTTGTGTGTGTGTGTGTGTGTGTGTGTGTGTGTGTGTGTGTGAGGAGCCCTTGTTCTCATCCCATCTTTACCCATTAGACAGCATTCTACAGGCATAATGCCACTTAAATGTCCTTCCAGGTCCTTCCTCATTTCCCAGCCAGCATTAGAACCATTTGCTCTGTCCCATACCATCCTGTTCTTTTTGCTATTACTCTGCTTATCTCATAATTTGTTTACCCATTTATCATCCCCACTGGCCTCTTCAGGGAAGAGCCAAACTCATGAAATACACTTAGTTAATATGTGTTGAATGTGAAAATGCACCATCAATTGTAAAACATGCAGTCATGTTCTCCTGTTATGTCCAGTAATACAATTCTCGGGACAGTGTTCACAGAAAACCTAATTTCTGTCAAATTTCGGGTAATAGAAAAAAAAACATTTTAAAGGGGCTTCTGGTAAAAAATATGTTGACAAACCAAATCTGACAAATCTCCAGGGGACATTGTGAACCTTGCCAAATTGTGCTCATTTCAATTTATTGATAGAAAGCTAATTCTGCTTTAATGAAAGCAGCACAAAGAAATATATTTCTATAACATTCATGTTTTCATTCAGTAAGTATTTATTGAGTGCCTACCATGTGGCAAGTGCTGTCTAGAATAAAGATATAAATAAGACAGTCAGAAAGAAAAGAAACAGAACATTATTTCCAAATTAAGCCCCACAGCTGAACCACTCTTGTATCTATACATTATAAACTGCATTTTGTTGAGAATGGAGTTGTATGGCAATGAAAAAAAATGATTTCTCAATGTGTAATTCATCAGGAATGGGCTGCTGGAGTCTGCAGGGAGGGTGGCTGTGGAGGTCATACCACAGAGAATAAAACGATGGAGGCTACCATTGCCCAAGAAAATCCTTTCTTTTGGCATTTCATCATCTAGTCATCACTGTGTTTGGGAGAAAGTCTGAGCTCTGGATTTAGAGAATCAACTCTTCCCTCTAGAAAGTAATGGAACTGGGAGCCCCCTAGCAAAGAGAAAGTGAAGCCAGGACCCTAGTCTCCTTTTCTTAGTCACTGTTTGCAAAGACCAACCCCAGACGTTTAAAAAACAGCACTTTCAAATAGTTGGCTCTAGCTTGTTAATAGTTTGCAAACAAGCATTAAAATTTACTGGCCCATAAAATTGTTTCAAGATTCTCAGGTACAAAGGTAGTAAAAAAAATGAGCCCTCTCTCCTGCCCCTCTTTATGGCCATATGGCATAAAATCCTATAGGAAAGGCATGTGTTAATAAGATCAAGACTGGTCACAAAGATTAAGACTTTAATGTGACTAATTATTGGTTTCTCTAAGATTCTTCCTCTTCATTCTCCAATCAGATCTCCATTCATTCTATAACCTTCTGAATGGATTAGCAGCTTTATTTGTAAAAGAAAAGAACTTAAACTTATTTTTAATGAGCCCTCAGGAATGGCTCAGATAATAAACTGATCTCAGTTGTGGTCCCTGTTCTTATGAAACCAGAGTTCATAGAGCATTTTAAGTAGTGATCAGATTTTCTTCTTAGCTTTTGCAGAAGGATACATTTGTGACATCTTACTAGGTGCAAAAAAATCAGTACAGCAGGTACTCAAAGAATGCCATTCCATACAGTGTGGTTTTGATAGTTGATGAGATGCCACAGAAACCTAATTCTTGTTTATATCAATTAGCCTATTGTAACACTGGTTTCATTATACCTCCTTTTGCTTACCATCACAGAACTATGGGCAACATTAAGTGAGGCCTGACTGTACTGCCCTTGTGGTAAAGACATGCAACTCTTAGAATCAGTGCTCTCTGAGAACTTTGTGTGATGATGGGAAACTCCATACCAGTGGCTGTTGAGTACTTAGACTGTGACTAATGACTGAATAACTGAATTTTAAATTGTATTAATTTTCGTTACTTTAAATGTAAAGAGCCACAGTTATTAGTGGCCACTGTATAGGACACTTTGAGCTCCTGTCACAATGGCATAAACGGGACCAGAACCACTGCTGATGGCGGGTTTTTTACTAAGAGTGTCACCACCTTTGTGATTATGGATTAGAAGTCCATGGCCTGAGTGACGAAGCCCCTCTAATGGCCCTTGACTCCTAATGCTACAAAACTAACTAGCACACCAGCTTGATCCCAACATGCAGGTTAATTTTTTAAAAAACATTTTTTATTGATTTCAGAGAGGAAGGGAGAGGGAGAGAGAGAGATAGAAACATTAATGATGAGAGAGAATCATTGATCAGCTACCTCCTGCACTCCCCACACTGGGGATTGAGCCCACAACCTGGGCATGTGCCCTGACCAGAACCAAACCATGATCTCCTGCTTCATAGACAGAAGCTCAATCACTGAGCACCCTGGCTGGGTGCAGGTTAATTTTTTTATTCTTCAATATATATTTAGAACATATTCTAAAATGTGGGAATTTATCTGCAGCCATAGGAGATATGGTGATGAAGGTAAAGTCATCAGGACTAGGAATCATAAATTGTGAAAATGAGTAAGTATCATAGATAGGAAAAAAGGAACTTATTTATGGAGTGGCCCTTTCACACGCCTCCGGTATGTGAGTTTACTGTGCTGTGATCTATGGGGGAGACACCTACATGCACCTTACTCATATGTGAGCTGAAATTAATTTCTAATGAAATTTTACATAAAAATCTTGTGAGTCTAATGAATCACATCATGTATTTTATAGTGCAAATATTGAGAGACTTGTGATTCCCTACAGTAGTAAGGAGTTTCAGAATTTTGCAATTGTAGACTTTCGTGCATTTTCTTCATTCATCTTTTTTCTGTCACTTTATTTTACATATATTTTTATCCCATGATTTTTGAATAATTTTTCTTAATTGACATTTTTTTGCTGCTCATATGAGAGACCTCGATTTTATTATATATATAGTCTCCTTTCACAACGATGTGACTACTTGGCACTTGGTTACTCTAAAATCTCACCTTCAGGGCAATCGGTCTCCTAATATGCACACAAAGAGAAAGCATTTTTAGACTTTACCGGCTATTCTGAGACCTACTTATTCAAATTTATAGAGCTTGTTTGCAGCATTCAAGTTTGAAGGGGGCTTTATATTATATACACTGTAACTTTCAACCTTGTTTTGTATTGTGTTTTTTTTTCTATTTCTGATGCTATTTTGAGTCTTTACATCTCCATCTCATTAGTCTTAGACTGTTAAATACTGTTCTTCCTATTTCAATATGCCAAAAAAACTTTCTTCATATTTCAATCACACCTTTTTGAAATCTGTACCATAAATACAGAGGCCTCAAAGTAATAATCGTGGAAATGTGAGCTCGTCTACTTTCTCAGGGAGTGGCTCCCTGATTTCTTTAGAGGGGGAACCTCCTCTAGCTTGTGTGCATTGGGAGTACACCATGTTTTCAGGGAGGTCCTGTGTTCACATCTATACCAGCTTGAACACTCTCTTCTAGGGGATTTCCCTAAGGTCATGTTCACTTTCTGTTGTCCTTATTGCCATGACACTAAAGATACATACTTGGATTCTTCTCCCCAAAGTTATAAATTTCGCCTCCATCTCCATCTAAGCATTATTGCAGCATGACTCATACATTATGACAGCAACATTTTTTAAACTAAAAATTCTTCTAAAAATCTATTCTTTCTTAAAGCGACTGACACAAGGCATCTTGGAAGATAACTAGGGTGTACTCATTGCTCCAGGCTCCTGGCCCATGGATTTTCCACGGCTCCTGGAGTCAGCCTTCTTTTTCCATAAGATGAGCTTATGGTTTCTTGTGCTTTTTTTGGTTCATTTATTTATGGAAAGAATTGTGTTCCATCTTATGTTCAGATAATATTTTTCTAATGAAACCTGCACAGCCATTTTATTTAGAATTTTGACTACCCCTCACACACTACCACCTCTTACTATATTTATTTTTCTCTGCAGCAACATCTTCTAAGATACTCAATGGATTTTGCTAGTTTATTATGTTTACCATTTGTCTTCCCCTACTAGAATGAAAAATCTACCAGGAAAAGTGGTTTTGATTGTTTCATTGACGGTGTATCCCCAGAATAGGACCTAACTTTTAGTAGGTGATAAATAAAAATCTGTGAAATTAACAAATGTTCTGCAAAGAAGCGCTTTCTCTAATTTTCCCAGTTCTAAAAATTAATAATTAAGAAATAAGTCTCATGAACTCATCTACAAGATACCTGACTGTGAGTAAAGTGTTACTTTTCCCATTTTGCATAAATAATTCTAGAACACGAATGCAGAGACTTTTATTATTTAGTTCCAAAAGTTTCACTAACTGAATCCTGCCATAGCGTGACTCTCATCTGTGTGAACTGTTTCACTTACTGCATAATAAAGCAAGCTCAAGTTTTAGTGGGATTGCGATAATAGGGAATCCTGATACATTTTTTTTAGGCTAAAATTAGTAAAAATGCACATGGACTGGCGACCAATGTTCTGAATTGCTCTGATTTGAGGCTCAGCTCCTCATTCATGTGGAAGTGGGAACGGGGGTTAAGGAAATGATATATAAGTAGCTTTTTCCTAAGAGGCTTAGAGATTTGAATACAGACTATTTATATTTAATGATTAAAGAGCCGCTGGCAAGTGAACAATTGGATTTATTCCTATTAAAAATATATTAGGGTAGCAATACTGCCATGGGGCTCTCAAAAACCGGAAGTCAGTGCATCAATAACCCAAAGAGCCGGTTTCCTCCTTCCCTGTGGCTAACCTTCAGTCGATGATTCCTTGGCTGCGGCCCACAGGCAGGCGCTCACAGCCTCATAGGAGGCGCTCAGCCGCGTGGCAGGGTCCCTCTTTGGCTTGGGCGGAGGCTGTTTCCGTGGTGATGGGAGGCCACTGCTGTCATCCAGGCTGAACACCGAGTGCAGAGAAGGAGACCGGGTGGAGGAGCCAGCCAGGGACTGCACCAGGCTGTCCACAGCCATGGGGACTGGGACGGAGCTGCAGTGGAAATGCCTGGGTCCACTCCTGTCTTCAGTTCTTGAGGGGAACAAAACACAAACAGCACCCAGAGAGGCCCGGATGCATTATGTTCAGAGGGTAACAATGAACCTGCTCAACCAGACATAATCAAGGCTTTCTGGTGAACAGCCTTCCCCACGAGGCTGAAGGATGCCTGGGCAGCACTCTGGTGACCCACACATCCAGAGAAAGCCGCCCCATCCTTCCAGCCCCTGCTTTCTGATAAACGAGCACCTTGGAGATTCATCATTATCACTGAGAAAACAAAAGCAAAAAACAAAACAAAATAAACTCACACAAATGCAACGCTTCTTAAGGAGTGCTTACATTTTCTACCAGGCATTCACTGAATGAATTTTTCACACTCTGATTATTAAGCAAATCAGAAAACCAGAATTTCAATCTGGATGATCATTTCTGGAGAATCCATCTTAATAGAGAGTTACTGATGCATCAAATGCTGGGAGTTCATCACCACTTCCCCTTGCAAAACAACATATACGTAAAACTATCAAAGATTTACATTTTTTCCTCTCTCTCTCTCTCTCTTTTCTCCTAACCATTTAAACCTGGTTGGCAATTATATAATTATATGCAGAATTATTATTTTTCTTCTGTCACTCCCTCTGGCTGTCCAATGCCAAGTAAACTGTGGGTATTCAAAAAAAATAGACAAATACTTCTTCACTTAATTTTACATCAGGCAAATGAACACATAATCAAATTGAGAAATTGGGGTGGCTGTTTAGCTCCAGCAGAGAAAATAACAAACATTATTCTGGAAGTCACATAAAATTAATAGTTATCTGGTTTTAAAAAAATTCCTTCTGGCTTCATATGTCAATATAATCATGTAGCACCAAGATGCCAATGCATCCATTTTACAAGGAGTCTCCGAGCATTTGTTTTAATAATTATATCTTTGCATGGCAGCACACCAACAGGGCTGGGATCCACCGCAAGGCAGAGCCCGACGCCCGTGTAGAAAACGAACTAGCTGAAGATAAAAGCATGGCGCTCAGTGGATAATTTGTTTTCCTTGTAATGTTTAATTACAGTTTTCCATACAAAGGGATTTTTTTTCAGTTTTTAATCACTGAGATATTTTAAGCTACTTAGTGAGAGGCACATTACCATTTCCACTTCAATAAAAAAATCATTTGACATAGGCAGTCAAGGCAAAGGGGAGTCAGTTCTTAGTGAGAAAAAGAACTAGATATTACCAAGTTCCTGTGGAACAAACAAGCATCTCCTTGACAGTGAATTAGGATCTGAGGGACCCATGTGCCTGCCCTCCCGGGGAGGGGACTATGAACCACAGGAGTCCTCATCTTTCACGGAGAGGCACGAGTGATAAAGTGAAGGATCAGGTGGTCCCCACTTGTCTATTTCCGCCTCCAAAGTGAACTTTAAAATAAGAGTCTCGCCCTAACCAGTTTGGCTCAGTGGATGGAGCATCGGCCTGCGGACTCAAGGGTCCCAGGTTCGATTCCGGTCAAGGGCATGTACCTTGGTTGCGGGCACATCCCCAGTAGGGGGTGTACAGGAGGCAGCTGATTGATGTTTCTCTCTCATCAACGTTTCTAACTCTCTATCCCTCTCCCTTCCTCTCTGTAAAAAATCAATAAAATATATTTTAAAATAAATAAATAAAAAATAAAATAAGAGTCTCTCCCCAAAGTTTTCCTTACTGGCAAAGAAAATGAGACAGTTCACTAAGGAAAATATCTGTATAACCATTTATTGGTTTCAGTACTTCTGTTTTGAGAGTGGCTTCTCCATTTTTTTAATCAGATTTCCAGAAGTTTTTCGGAGTGAGACTCTGGTATAGATGGCACTTATATAAAGATGTGGAGAAGCCAGCTAAGACAGAAATATCAGATGCCTTAAAACTTTGTGCTTGAAAGGGAAGTGATTGATGCAAGCATTGTAAGTGAAGCAATGATTATTTCATTGGACTAAACTCACACATGTAGCATTTATTTCATTAAGAGGACGCAGAGGAAAAGCATCCTCTTGGTTTTTATGAGGTTTCAAATAAAGGATGGGCACATACTTGCCAGTTCCCGTAATTACTGTCATATTTGATTGAACTTTGCATTAAGGGCTATCGGAACTTTCTTGATGCCATTGAATCAATTACATAGATAATTAAAGTTGCACACTGTCTGCCTTTACCTTTTGGTTCCTTCCTCTTGCTTGCCTCTGGCCTCCAACTTCTCTTTGTGGTAAGTAGCATTCATTTCATTCCTGAGCCGGTCATTCTCACGGGCAATGTCTGAAGCATTCTGAATGACCAGGGCATCATAGGTCTTCAGCCCCATGTCCTCTGTAATCTGCAGGAAGCTGTTGATGGACGTGACCTCTTGCTGTCTGATGCTTCTTTTCTGAAGCAAGTGCTGGCGTGCCAGAAATCCTCTTATAACTTCCCCATAAAAGAATGCAATCAGGGGTCAGGGAGAGAAGCAAAAGCGGAAAAACCCAGACCCACACAACACAGTACATTTATGTCTGAGCAACTACAAAATAAGATATTTAATTCAGAATAAAATGTACTAAAACATTCTAATCTTGCATTAAAAAATATCGAAATTCAGTCATGATAACACTAGAGACACAAATCCTTTTTTTTAAATATATTTTATTGATTTTTTACAGAGAGGAAGGGAGAGAGATAGAGAGTTAGAAACATCAATGAGAGAGAAACATCAATCAGCCGCCTCCTGCACATCCCCCACTGGGGATGTGCCTGTAACCCAGGTACATGCCCCTGACTGGAATCGAACCCGGGACCCTTCAGTCCACAGGCCGATGCTCTATCCACTGAGCCAAACCGGTTTCGGCATAACACAAATCCTTAAACTGAATGAGGTCATGCAAGTAATCTACACTAATAAAAGAGAAACATGCAAATTGGTGTCACTCCGCTATGCCCACCAGCCAATCAGATGAGTATGCAAATTAACCCAACAAAGATGGTGGTTAATTTGCATACACAGGCGAGGAGTGAAGACTGAATGCTCTGGCTGGAGTGAAGACTGAAGACTGAAGACTGAAGAGGCTTGGCTTCTCCGCTGCGGCCAGAGCAGGGAAGCTAGGCCTCGCTGTGGCCGCAGTGGAGAAGCCATGCCTTGCTGAGGCCGTAGGGGAGAAGCCTATCCTCGAGGCTTGGCTTCTCTGCTGCGGCCGGACCAAAGGCCTGGGTCCCGGGTGCCGGAGGAAAACCGGTGCCGGCAGCCAGGGGAAGAAAGGCCTATTGCGCGAATCTTCTTGCAACAGGCTTCTAGTATCATAATAAGGCTCCCACACTTTTTTTGTTTGTTTGAGAGGCTGGACATTGATAGACTGGACTAAAGTCAATGAAAAAGAATGAGGTCCTGCCCTAACTGGTTTGGCTCAGTGGATAGAGCAACGGCCTGCAGACTTAAGGGTCCCAGGTTCGATTCCGGTCAAGGGTATGTACCTTGGCTGCGGGCACATCCCCAGTAGGGGGTGTACAGGAGGCAGCTGATCGATGTTTCTCGCTCATCGATGTTTCTAACTCTCTATCCCTCTCCCTTCCTCTCTGTAAAAAATCAATAAAATATATTTAAAAAAAAAAGAACGAGGTCCAAACCCCAGAGAATTTTGGGGTTTGACTCTAACTGGACCATTTTGGGACACACTGATTATCTTTCATTATATCAGATTATAACAGAAATTATGAGGCTCCTGGAATCACTCTTTGAAAACATCATGCACATATTGTTAATAGGACTGTGATTTAACCTGTAGAAAAACTAACACTGCACTTACGACTCTAGGAAGAGATTGTATAAAATATAGGACATCCTCCCTGCTCTCTGAGGAAGCAGGGGTAGAAAAATGTGTAAGAATTGGGGGAAACAAGTGAGTGAACACATTTTGAAATGGCTAATTTTAGCACACATGTAAGACTTGAAATAAAACAATGAGCACAATTTAAAGGCACTTCCATGTGTTCAGAACACCATTCGATCACTCATTGCCCCCACTCAATGATAATTAATACTCCATTATCTTCATTCTGTAGACAAAGAGAAGCGTAGTGAGGCCTTATTACAGTGTGTAAGACTTATTATAAACAACTAGAGGCCCGATGCATGGATTCGTGTACTGGTGGGGGCGTGGCCTACGGGGATCAGCCTGCTGTGGGAGCCCAGCTCATCCTGGTCAGCGAGTGACACGCCTACTGTGGGAGCATGCTGACCACCAGGGGGCAGCTCCTGCGTTGAGCATCTGGGCCCTGCTGGTCAGTGTGCATCCACAGGTCTTTCTGGTCATTCCGCCATTTGGTCGCTGGGCTTTTTATATATATAGATATGTTCATAGCCTCCTTCAGCTTAAGGATTTTTGCCTTTAGTATTTCCTGAATTTTGATTTCCCTTTTTAATACGAGATTAGAGTATGTCAGTAAATGTTTATTCTGGGTTAAATGTATCTTCCACCAAGTAAATACAACCAATGAATAGAAGAGCCAGGATTTGAGTCTCTGGTTACGAGGCCAAGTTCATTCCCTTAGCATCTAACCACTCAGACATCACATGATCTGTCGCTCTGCAGAGAGCACATCACCAACAGGGAAGCCAAGGTAGCATGCTTGCGATCCATGTGCGGAAGAACTTTGTATAACACTGAGCACAGGGTATAAATGGATCAGGTTGCTTCCTGAGAAAGAGACTCTGCTTCCAGTCCCTGAGAAAGTTCATGAGAGCAAAATGGTCCTCCCTGCTTGTGGATGCTGTGGACAGATGCAGGGGGAGGGATTACTATTGGGTCCTTTTGACTCTGGGATGCCATCCCTTCCAATTCTAAGTTTCTAAGATTAGAAGGAACTGTTTGGATTTTAAGAAGGTCTATACTTTCAGGGAAAACCAATGAGTGTAGCAAAATCACTTTATTCTTGTCTGTAGGGGAAGGAAAAAAAGGCTGTGAAACATTGAGTGCTTTAAAATAGTCTGTGGCTACTGAAGAACAGTGTGTGGGTTATCTCTGACATTCACTTGATGCCTTTTCTTGATTACAAGGTGGAAAGCTGCACACAACTTTCCACAATTACGGCTTCAGAGGCAAGCACTCTGCAGGCAGCTAAAATGCTTCAGGCTTTTCTTCCAATGGCAATACTAAATGTTTAGTTACTTTGTAATGCAGCGGTATGAATTAACTGTAAACCGTCATGCTGCACTAATCTAAAGGGGAGAAAATTAAACAGTAAAAGGTACAACCAGACTTATAGAAAGAGAAAATGCGGAATAAGTGTAAACCATGTGATGGGCACACTGGGAGAGAGCAGCAGAATTCAAATTGGCCCATTCACTTGCTATTTCTATTACATTAAAAAAAACAACCCACACCAATAAAAAACAAACAAAAAAACCCTGAGACATTGACTTTTGGAAGGATCAAGCTGTTTAATCTCCTGTAATAAATGGAATATTAATGTGGATATGCCAGATTTCCTGTGACCTCCGACGTCAGCAGAGCTATTCCCTGGATTCATGACCCAGGAATCTATGGTCCCATATTTGGAGAACTCTATTTTCTCACATTTCATACTAGCGCCTTTTCAAATTCTTTAAAAATGTTATACCAGTTGCTAAAAATTGGTATATTTAACAAGGGACAACTAATAAAAATAAATTTGCTCCAATATATATTGATACTTATTCTCTTTCTGACAATTTTAAAAGACTGCTTTTATGACATTTATAGTATTCATATTTTAAGTTTCATCTAGGACAAAGTAAACATATATAGTCAGAGAGAAACTTCTGTTAGGAATAATTTGAGATTAAAATAATTTAAGATTAAGAGTAACAGCTTTCTTCCCCCCCAACATTTACAAAGAAAAAAAAATGAGAACTCTTGAAAAACTGGAAATGACACCACATCATATAAATTTTGAGTAAATTTCATAGTAGCAAAAAGTACTGAAGGAACTATTCCAAGAGATATAAAAAGAAAAATCAATAAGTAATGCTTTGCATTTAAGAGCCTATAATTTAAAAAACACTTTTATATCCTTTATTTCATTTATGCCATAGGAAGTTATGGTTTTCATCTTGATGCCATTTTGTAGACCATTCTCAATTTTTTATCTTTAGAGGTGAAGAGATAACTAGAGTTCTGCTCATTTCTTTTGTTTCAGGTCAGCAGGGCACAGCAACTTATCTTTGTAACAGAATAGAAGAGAAATTTCTAGTAGGCAGCCCTGATGGAAGACAGGGGACACATTCTTCTAATTATATTTAAGGAACATTTCCAGGAGAATTTGATACTTCATTCTGTATACATATAAATGGGGCTCTCAGTTAACTCCATAGCGCAGTGATTACAACACTGGTCTTGTAAACTGGATTCTTCCCATTCCAATCACAGCTGAGGCTGGAAATGCAGCTTCTGATTCAGGAGGTGCGAGGTGGGGCCTGAAACGCTACATTTCTAAGTATCCCGTGTGGTGCCGAGGCTGCAGATGTTCAGGTAACAGGGTGGTTTGTCAGGGCTGGCCACACAAACAGGAACTGCCAAGGTCGGTCCAAAACAGACCTGTGACCCCAGCCTCTCTCTACACTGATGAAGGACAAAATTAAGGAGGCCAGGTGATCATCACCACTCACAGAGAAGCCACAGTTGCTGAGAGTTGAGGGTGGGTCCTTTCCCTACCCGAGGCTTCCCCCACTGCCTCCGCCCTCCAGGCTGGTGAAAGTGGCTTCTGAGGACCACCCCGAGAACTTGCTATGTGACTCTGGAGTTTGGAGGACATGGTGGCGCGTGAGCCTTGAGAAGACGGATGCTGCATCAGTGGCTGCTGCCAGGCCCTGAATGCAGGGTGGCTCTGCGGGGAGAAGCTACACCTGTCAGGGCCCCAGGGTGTGGTTCTCCAGCACCAGACATGGTTTGCAAGACAGAGATGTCTGCTTGCAGTCATTTAAGGAGACTTCTTAGACAGCATAGAGGCCTGGGCGGAGAATGTCCATGGGGTACCCGGGAGCTGAGGGGGGATTATAAGTGACTGTCCGAAGGAGAGGTCTTGTCAGTTCTCAGGTGGGTAGTGCAGATAAGTGCTGAAATGTGCCCACATATCCAAATCGCCATTGAACACCTGATCACCCCACCAGAGGAACCCCGGGCCAGGTCACACTGCAGAGGGTCAGACAGAAGAGCTGCTCTGTCCCCTCACTCTCCCTCCGCTTTGTCAGCTTTGGAGGGTCACAGGTGCGCATGAGCCTAAGTAGGCAGGAGTGAGTGCCTACTGCCCACCTGTGGGGTCTGAGAGGTCCAAGATGAACGTTTTTACTTAGAATGAAGTGCTGAATTTTAAGCGTTATTTGGATGGAACTCGTTCATTCTGAATGAGATGGTTTGAGGAACCAGAATGTAGCAGTACTTTTTATCATCAGAAAATGATAAGACATTGGAGATTTAATGAGGGGCATGCCTGGATGAAACCAGGGGTTTCAAACGGATAGAGCCCTGAACAGAATGAAACTGATTTCTGCATCCTGTGAAGTGTCTTTGCTAGTTTTGGACAGCTTCAAATATACTAGAGAGCTCATTACAACCAGTTCCACCAAAAATTAACATATGGGTCAATTTTTTCCCTTTTCCCTTTCTTTGATAATTATATTTATAATGCATAATTAAATTATTGAGAAAATTAAAAATGTATTCAGGATGTATGTTTTATGTGAGGCATAGTTATGTAGCCATTTTTGATGGTCGCTTGGGTTTTGATAGGAAAAGAAATTCTAAAGGAACTATTTTAAAGTTAAAATGAAAAAAAAAATGCTATCTGCTATCAAATATAATGCTCCAGATATCATCACTGCTTCACAAAGGAAAAATAAAGTCCAGGATTTTCCCATGCATATGCAGAATCACATAAAATATGATCTAGCCAATCGACTGACTGAACTGGCTGGGAATCTGGCTTCTTAGCTGGATCTAAGTACCACTGTGGGTTCAAAGGTATACGCTTCTTGTCAGGATCAATAAGCATGAATATTTGTAAGGTAGAGGATGCATAAAGCATAGGATAGGAATAGCTCTTCTTCCAAACTGTGGTTTAGATAAAAATCTGCTACAAAATATCAGATGAAATGACTACCCCATAAAGCATGAGCCGTGTAGTGTCTGCACACACTGATTCACACACAGGTAAAGAGCAAACTAAGCCACAATGCTGCCTAAACCCCCGGAAAGTGTCCGTAAGTAGCAGCATAGAGTGGATGGAGCAGTTCACTCCAATGTAGATCCCACTGATATTTAGACTTCCATTCCACAAGTCACAAAAGTTCATATATGTTAGTGTGCACTGTTACCTTTTTGACAGATGATAATTTTTCTCTGCAGCTGTAGGCACAAATCATTGAGCTGGTTGGCATGGCAGTATTTTAGAAACACTTTTCGGACTCCCATCTAAAATGTAAACAGCAGGGAAACATTTAATCGCACGGAGATGCCAAAATGATGATGAGAAAACCATCAGGCAAGAGATTTTTCCAGAAGACAATTAGAATAAACAAAGCTAACAAATTTAATTCCAGTACATCTCCCTTATTATTTTTTAACACTACTAACACCTAATCCCAATCACCCAAATTTTGTTCTAATAAGTATCTTTATTGTGTGTACACATTGTCACCAATGTTTTCAAATGCCTACACACTACAGCTGTGGTAGTTGCATCATGTAGTGCAAAATACTGACTGGCTTTGACTCTCTTTTTTTTATTGTTGACACTATTACAGATGTCCCCCACCTCCCCTACCTTTGTCCACCTCTACCCAGCCCCCCACCACCACTCCCCTGGCTTCACTACTCTGTTGTCTATTCATGGACTATGCATATGTGTTCTCTGGCTACTCTCTGCACCTTTTATCCAGCTTCTTTATCAGAAGATACAGCCAGCCCCATGCATGAATTTTCACACTCCAGAGCCAGACCCCTAACTTTCCTTTGTGATCCTTTTCTTTTCTCAACCCAGGGCAGGGTGGTTAAGTTTACAAAAAGGGAAAACAATCAAACAAAAAGACCCAAACAAAACATACAGAGGTTACACAAAATTATGTCATGTCAATTAATTTTTCTACTAAACTGTACATTATTATATACTAGAGGCCCGATGCACAAAATTCATGCAAGTAGGCCTTCCTTCCCCCAGCTGCCGGCACTGGCTTCCCTCTGGCACCCGGAACCCAGGCTTCCCTCTGGCACCAGGGACCTGGGCTTCCCTCGCAGCCCTGGCTTTATCCGAAGGTCATCCGGAAGGACGTCTGGTCTAATTAGCATATTATGCTTTTATTATTATAGATCAATGTATATAGCTGCAATTATAGAACTGCAACATCGAAGTAAAAAGACTCAACAAAGTCATGTGAGCAATAACTTTCTAGTCATCTGCATAAGCAGAAGTATGCTTTCTTCTCTAGAATTTTAAAATTTTATCACATCTCCAAATTTGTTTCCATAAAAAAGGTTAGTGGTATGTGAGCTAGTCCAATCATGCTGCTATTGATGAAAGCAGCTACCAAAGAGAATTCTTAAAAACACACAACAATAAGCCATGCCGAGAATTTAAAAAATAATTTTCCTGTGTGTTGTGCTCATTTTCTAAGAATTCATGGAACTGAATGCCCTTTACAATGTAAGTGTTCACAGTCTCTCAGGGGAAGCAGGCACAAATAATTGCAGAAAAGCCTGGTAAATACTGACACGAAGTGCTGTTAGATAAAGAGGAAATACTGCAAAGGCAAACCTGGTAATATGTTCATAATCATATTCTCAGCACTTGAGACAAACACTGTTAAAATAAGAGGAAGACTAACATGTGTGCTCCCAAGCATGACCTGAGGACATTAAATGATAACACCGCACAGCCTGTGTCATACATCACAATGACACCCGAGGCTTGCATGTATATACACATCATTAGGTACTGGAAAGGTTTATAGGTCAGACTTGTCTTCAGAGTACGTGGCCAGAGGCAGTTTATGAACCTTTTCATATGGAAACGGAGTTTACTTCAAACATATTTTGTCACTTCCCATCTTTCCTTCTAACTCTCCCCTTAGCCATGTTGTCTTAATGAAACACACATTTACACGGAATTGGGACAGGAATCTTACACTGTGGTAGTCAGGGTAGTTGGTTAGATCAACAGAGAATGCTCTCAACTACTGTTCTGTTCCAGAGGCCTCTGGCTGACTAGATGTTCTTCTTCATTTAGTTTTTTTTGTTGTTGTTGTTGTTTTTAGTTGGTTGAAATTTCAGACATTTGCCTAGGTGGGTGGCTACAGAGAGTTGTTACTTCTTTCCCCCATTGTATTGCCATTCTCTCTCCCTAGTTATTTTCCATAACTCACAGTCTTTTTTCCGCTTCCCGACTATTGACTTCTTTTGGCAGTCAACAGGAAGAGCAGTTGGTACTGTCTGTGAGCACTGCGGAACAAATCTGTGAGGCAGGCACTGGGAAGGAGGGAGCATGTCATCTTTCTGTTCATCCCTGACTGTGGCATGTTACTCACTGTGGGAAACTACATCCCAAAGGCAAAATTCATGCAAACCTGAGTTCCAAAATGAAACTCTAAAAGAGTGATAGCCAGCAAGACTCCACAAATGGTGGAATGAATAACAATTAGGGGAACTAACAAATGCAAGGAACACAAGGGGAAGAGACCTAGAGAATGCAACCAGGAGAACTGGATTCTAGTCCCACCTCCATACTTAAAAGGAGACCCTGGGCAGGAAGAGAGTTAGAAGACTAAGATCTGTTACAGTGACATTTCTAACGGCCATTCAAAAAACCAAATTCGTTTACCTTGAGAATTCTGCTAGAGTTACAAAGGAGGTTCCTCTCCTTACTGAGTTCATATGGAAAATCTGCAGTAAGCAAATCTAGCAAGAATACATGCTTAGTGTGATGATAAGAGTTATTTTTAAGGACCATCAGAGAGGAGGAGGTGATCAAGGTGGAATCAGGTAAGATTCACTGAGAAGCATGTTATCTAAGCCATTTAGCATTGAAGGGTATGTAGGAATTTTCCAGGGTGGCTAGGCATGATGGGAAAAAGATGAATGGGGGCAGAAAAACTAGCATATGAAAGGCAAGGAGCAGAGAATGACAAACCAGCTTGGGGGTACAGATGTGTGAAGAGTGATGAGAGAAGAGATTACAGATGTAGCTAGTGGCCAAATTGTGAAGAGTATTACAGGAAAGCATGGACATTCTCCTATGAGCAATGTGGCTAAAGTGAACAAATTAAAGGGGATCAGACCTAACTTTTATAAAAATAATTTTTGAATCTCTATTTGAAATCTATAAAGTCCTTACTTTTTCAGGAGAATGGATTGTTGGGCTTGGCTTTGGGAAATAGTTTGTTGGCAAAGTGAGACAATATAATGCAATCACAACAGTTTGGGTTTGGAAGATTATACAACTGTTGCTTGTCTGGCGGCCAGTCCCTATTTATCCTTTATAACTGGAGCCAAACCCCACCTTCATAATTAGATCTCTGATACTCATTTATTTACTTACAGTAGGGCTTTTATGACTTTCATTTGTGTTCCCAGAGCACCCTCTGAATGATCCTTTTTCTCTTATTATATGCATTGCATATTTATCATTATCTATATATTCACATCTCTCAAAAATATGAAGATATATTCTTGATCTTACAAGTGGTAGGGATGTGATGAGGGTGGATTTGAATTAGACAGAGAAGATGAGGAACTGTGAAGTGCTGGTGTAAGATGAGTATAGAGATGGATGATAATGTCTTCAAGGATGGAAATAAGGTATGATGGACGATGGGAATAGAAGCCAGACCCAGAAGTCATTCAGCAATCTGTGAATAAGTCATGGACATCAGTCAGCGATAGAATAAATGATGGTGGAAATAAAAGGAAAAAGAAATGGAGTGAAAATGGTCCACAAGTGGTGCAGACATAAGAAAGTTTGGGCAGCAATGATTCAGCTGACCCCTCTCCTCTACTGAGACAAAGGAAGGGAGAAAAAGTGAAATCGTAAGCTATTGTCAGAACATATCCAGTTTTCAGTTTACATATGTAGGCTAAATTAGAAGGGGAGTAAATATGGAGGGCAAAGTGGATTTTTTTCAGTATATATTAGCGATTCCATGGATTCTGACTGTGGGTACTTGAGAAGCAGGCTGAGTGTTTCACAGGGCTGATCTGTTAGGCCAGACTTGGAGGCAGGAAAATGAAGTTCTTGATGGGAGCCATGGTCGGGGATAATAGCAAGGGAGGAGGGGAGTGGGTATGTGAGAGCACAGGGCATGTGCGAGGGAAGGTGGGATGTTAGACATGTAATGTTGGGAACCAAAGGCCAGCTCTCAAAGCTCCTGGTGGGTTTTTGGTGTAGCTACTAGTATATCCATAAGAATTCTTCCTGCAGTGGTAAAACCAAGGGCTTTGAAAGTAAGGAGGGCTTCTAGGCATCTGGTTCAATGGGAGGGGGAGAGAATTAAATTCTGAATCCACATTTAAAGTATCCTGTTCAGTTCCATCCATGCTATTGCAAATGGTAAGAATTCCTTCTTTTTTACAGCAGCATAGTATTCCATTGTGTAGATGTACCACAGCATTATGCTAAGTGAAATAAGCCAGTCAATGAAAGAAAAATACCACATGATCTCATTCATTTATGGATAATAAAGACCATTATAAGCTGATGAACAAAAATAGATACAGAGGCAGAGCAGCATCGAACAGACTGTCAAACTACAGCGGGAAGGCTGGGGAGGGTTGGGGGGCGGGAGGGGCGGGGTAAGAGATCAACCGAAGGACTTGTATGCATGCATATAAGCATAACCAATGGACATAAGACACTGGGGGCTAGGGGAGGCCGGGGGAATGTCAAGGAGGGGAAAAAGGAGACATATGTAATACTCTTTGTAATACTTTAAGCAATAAAAAAAAATAAAGTATCCTGTTCAACAGAGCTAAAGACTTCATGGAAATGGCTAGGTATTGTGCTGCCATCACATTCAGGAAGTTTTAGAAAGTTCTTCATTCACCTACTTGATATACTTTACAGTTATTCAATGGACTGATCTATTATTTCATATCCATTCATCCACATTTTTTACCATATATAATTTATTTGTGGATTGGCAAGATGCAGAGATGCTCATTAAAAATGTTACCATTTGCCCTGACTGGTTTGGCTCAGTGGATAGAGCGTCGGCCTGCGGACTGAAAGGTCCCAGGTTGGATTCCGGTCAAGGGAATGTACCTTGGTTGCGGGCACATCCCCAGTAGGGGGTGTGCAGAAGGCAGCTGATCGATGTTTCTCTCTCATCGATGTTTCTGACTCTCTATCTCTCTCCCTTCCTCTTTGTAAGAAATCAATAAAATATATTTAAAAAAAATGTTACCATTTGTTTGACAGTTGCTGG